AACTTTAGTTTTGTTTTTTCCCTATTGACTCATCTGTCCATTAAAAAGGTAGTACTAGATCTCTACGACTTCTTCTGAAATATTTTGTTTATCCATACAGAAGCTATGTCTTTAAGCACCTTCAGGTGAAAAAATGAAATCCCTTCCAGAAATGGGGTGCTCCCACTGTCATTGTGTTTCAAATGCAGCTGACTCCTCCTCTCTCTTTCCACACACAGATATCCTTCTGAAGACATTTTTCAGAGCCTCAAAGATAGAGGACATGCTTTTCTTCACCCACAGTATACAATTTATTACTAAGTCCTGATGTTTCTGCCTCCAAACACATAACTGAAATTCATCCTCTTGACTCTCACCCAAGTACTGTGCTACCTCCTCAATGGTCTTCTCACTATTCCCTTTCCACCCTGCAATGCATTCTCTACACATAGTCAGACTGCTCCTTTTAAAGCTTAAATCATGCCCCTCAACCACCTGAGAATAGTGACTTCCTACAGCAGCCAAAATAGAATGCAGGTTCCTTTTCTTAGTTTACAAGGCCTTTCCGAACTAGTCCTGCCTCCTTCTCCGTTGGCCTCTTGCACCTTTCCCTCCCTTGTTCCCTATGTGCCATCCTCCCCGGGCTCTTCCCGTCCATCCCACACACCTAGCTCTTCTTATTCTAATCTCGTTGTACTACCTGTTTCCTCTACTGAGAATGTTCTTTCCCCAATCCTTGGCTGGCATTCTGCCCTCTCTTTTAGGTTTATGCTTCTACATAATCGCCTTCATCAGAAGCTTCTCCTGACCACTCCATCTAAAGAAAAATCAACCAATCCCCATCTCTCTCTCTCTTCCCCCCTACCTCACATACATCCATGTATGCACATGCCATACACATATGTACCCACACAAAGACATGATCATGATTATTTCTCCTTGTTTATTTCTAATAAAGCACTAGCCAACCTGTAATTATCTTGTTGGTTTATTAGTGTGACATCTCTCTCCTCCACTAGAAAATGTTCTATGAGAAAAAGAATTTGGTCTGTCACTCTTTTCCGAGTATTTTGAAGACTATCTGGCAAATAACTGACATTAAAATGTTCTTTGAATGAGTAATACATGAACGAATGAATGAGCGAAGCAATGAATGCCACTCTCGTTTCATGCCTTTTGATACTTGGATGGGCGTCGGGAAAGGAAAGGGTGAAAATAGAAAAAATAAGGGACACTGAAGAGTGATGACTGTGATGGTGAGAGTTAAAGAAAACGTGATAGGGAGCAATAGTCAGCCCTCAAAGTTGTACTAAACATAAAAAAGGAAGTTCTAAATTTCTAAAAACCAGGGATGTCGAGCCAAGATATGGGCTGCCTTGTAAGTGAGTCATTCATTGGTATGTGAACTATGGATGGTAATGTTAAGGCCTAGGCCAGGGAAAAGGAGCACACATAGAATTCAAGGCAGGATCCCCATAAGATGTGCAGAAGGAGCTGTATGGCCACCACCAGGGCTATTGCAGAAGGGATTTATGCATCCTGAGATTGGACTAGGTGTCTAAACAATGACCTCATGGCTAGAGCAGTCCCAGGCCAGTAAGCATGGGAACACGAAACCCCTGCTGAAGAGCTTCCTCCTCCAGTAAATACACCATGTATGTTCAATTAGTTTCTCTGCTCCAGAAGAACTGTCTTTTTGTGCCCTCAGCAATGAGATCCTGCTAATTGAAAACACTTCATTCTATCTGCTTGAGAGGACTGGACTAAACTAGGCTATTGAAATGTAGCACATCCCTAACTGGGGCAGAGGAGCCACAGTAGAGCAGCAGCCCAGACAGTCTAGGGAGAGGATGACGAGAAATGTGTTTCATTTCAGGCACTATTTCAGAAAGGCTAAAATTTCCAGTCTTTAGAGAATGCATTCCAGATAATGAGTCCTCTCAGTCAGGGGAAACATTTTTCCCCTTTGCCTTGGAATGATTCATTTAAATCATTAAAATGATTTAAAAAAAATAGGGGCTCTCCATGTCCTGAACCTGCTTGTAGGGAGGCCAGATTTTGACTCAACAATTTTGCTGTTGAAAGAGGCATTCATTGGTATGTGAACTATGGATGGTTATGTTAAGACCTAGGCCAGAGAAAAGGAGCACACATCAGAATTCAAGGCAGTAACAGCAACGGCAAAAAACAGTAACAACAGAACACCCTATGCCTCTGTGATAAAACAATAACAACAAAACACCCTATGTCTCTGTGAAAACTCCTCTACCACATTGTCTTCTTTCATACAACATTCAAAGAACAAGCGCCACTGTGATCCCATTTTACAGACTACAAAACTGAGCCCCTAGAGTCAAGAGACTTGCCCAGGGTCACAAAGCTAGTGAGTGATAGAGGAAGATGGGCCTCTGGTCTGCTCAAGATAAAATGTGTTCATCTTGTGCTCAAGATGAAATGTGTTCACAAATCACACACACATACAAACCTTCAAAATGCAGATTGAAATGCTGCGGGTCTGGGGCAGGGCCTGAGATTCTGCAATTTTAACATGCTCTATGGTAATGCTAATATGCTGTTCCATGAACCACATTTTGAGGAACAAGATTGTAGGAACAAAAGGATGGCACCTAAAGGTACCAAGAAAATGTTCTTAATTTCCCACTAAGGCACATAAATCACAAATAAAATAAAATGTGGTTTGTTTTTTGGTTCAGTTCTCTGCCTTGGAAACATTAGATCTTAAAGGCTGTAATCTGCTCACCTTAACCTAGAAAAGATTTGTCACATTGTTCTCCAACCCTGCCCCTTTTTCCTCTTAAAAAGAAACCAGCAGTTGGCAATACATAAGGAGACAAACACAATTAAACCCCAAAGAAAAAAAAAAAAACCCACAGCCCTTCCATTTCAATTAGAATCAGCGGCTGTTGGAAATGGGCAAATTTAGAGCTGTAATACCAACGGAAACAGTGAATTCTCAATTGTGATCAAAGGCTTCATTTAGCAGGCTGAAAAGCAAGCATGAGCTTAATTGAACAAGAGAGAGAGAGCCTCCAAAGCAGCCAGCCATAATCAAATAGCATTGAAAAATACAATGCATCAGATGGAGAGGAATTAGCCCCAGGCTCCAAATGCCCTCACCTGACCTATAGATCCCGCAGCTTGCTTCAGGGGAGGAGGACCTCAGCAGTTACCTGGTCCAACTCCACATCTTATGTGGGAATTCACTTTAGGCCAGGAATTTCAAAATCTTTGGCTGTAGTGCAGTTAGAAACACATTTTATACCCAACCCAGTGTATGGGCACCATCTATATATGAATATCTTTAAGTAAAAGCTTCACAAAATAATATGTATTTTTTCAATGTGTGAAGTACTCCAACACTTGCTCTTTTTTCATGTTTTTCAATGCTCAAGAGCCATGAAATTGATTTCAAGACCCACTAATGGGTCATGACCCATATTTTGAAAAACACTGTGTTAGACCATCCCACTTAAGTGGACAACCAGCTCCTTCATCTTACAGGTAAGACAGAAAGACTTTAAACAAATGATACACAGACACATATTTAATGGCACAAATTGAAGTGAAAGGAAAAAAGGAAGAACAGGGATGTGATGGAGATGATAACGGGGGGAACTATTTTAGACCAGAACGATGGCTGGAATGCGTCAGGCAAAGCCTCTCTTGGAAGAATCTTTAAGCTGGGACTAAAGAATGAATAGAGTAGCCAGGTGAAAAAAGAAAGATGGGTATCTTTAAACTTCCCTTGTTCTGGGAAATGTGTGGTTATCTATGGCAACCTTACATGGTAATAGCAGCAGCAGCAGCTGCTGCATCTGCCCAAGCCAGGTTCATCAAGTTTTACTATTTGTCGAAGGTTGAGCCAAGTGCTTCATGGGGCTACTGAAGCTTAAGGGAACCAACTGCCTGGTTTAAATCCCAGCTCCACCCTTTACAAGGTGTGTGATTTGGGGCCAGTTAGTTCAGTTTCCTCAACTGTGGAGAAGGGATTATTCATGGTTCATGCCTCATCATAGTGTTGCTAGGATTAAATCAGTTAATACAAGTTACGGGGCTTAGAACAATTCCTGGTGTACGGTAAGTACAAAATAAATTGCTGAATAAGGAGATGTGGACTTGAAATCTTCAACAACTTGCTTCAAGCAAGCACCACCTGTCTGTTGACACCAGGAAAGAAACCCATTTGCCATCCCTAAACTGGCTGGTTTCCAAGAGGTGTTTTGATTTATTTTGTTTTTTCCATAACAATATTATAAACCTAGTGGGATAGAGGGCTGAAGTCCTCAACTCTGCAGAGCCTTAGAGACAAAGGAGGCAAGGAGAAAGGGAATGAGTCTGATTCCCTGTTCCTAATTGCCATCTCAAGCCTTGCATTCACCACTATTCTCTCTCCTGTCTGATGTATTTCCCTCAGCACCAAGGATACAGTTGATTTCTCTAGAGAACTATAATAATGAAATTATAGTATGTTTACTTGATGCAGAAAACCTCTGGATAGATAGTAAATTAGTGGCCTCACAGTGTTGAAAAATCTTCAAGCTTTCAAGAGGCCTAAACAGATCCAAAATGCCAGGTTCAAGTCACATCAATAATTAAAATTAAATTATTGTGCTGAGCTGAAAGTCATCTCCAATATAACATTTTTAAAAATGGTTCTCCAAAGAAGAACTCTATCTTGGCTTCAGGGAGGCATCTATCATAAACCCACAGAATCAGAGACAAAAAATGCAAGCTGTGTCCATTGTGCGCATGCTACAGCTAATGCCCCAGGATGGGCAAGAACAGAGAGGCACAGATGGGCATACAAAAACACCCATTGCTGGGGAGAGGCAATAAAAATGAGGAGCAAGCCTAATATTTGTAGGTTTACTGTTTACATCCGTCTTCTCAATTCATCCACTCACTGTCTCTGCAAAGTAGGCAAGGCAGATTTCCAGTCTCATTATGCAGATGAGGAAACCGAGGCTTTATATGGTATAGTGGCTGGAGTCAAGACACATGGCCAGTAAGTGGTGCAGATGGGATGAATATTCATCCTGGAGTAAAGGAAAGATAGGGAGAAAGGAAAGAAGTAGAAAAAAGGAAATCGGCATGCCTGTCTTAATAGCAGAATATGATATAAAATTTAAACACAAAAGACATGGCTTGGGACAATTCAGCAAATTCACACAAAAAGGGTAGTTATTAAAATTATGCTTGTGCCTATGCACTCTTGGAAGATGTTTATGATGTTCTTACACTGCTATTGGCATAACAATACTTAGCCAAAAATTGACCATGGGCTAAAGACCTGTCTAAACATTTTACATGAATTAATAATTATCCACTGAATCCTTTTAAAAACACTACAAGGTAGAAGTTATCATTTTACAGTTGAGAACCCCAAGTCCAGAGAAGTAGATTATTTGTGAAACACACACAGCTAGTGAGTGTAGGTCTGACAGCCAAGCCCAAACGTTTAGTCACTTAAGCATGCTATCTTCCTAGAGACCTGATGGAAAGAGGTGAGCATTAGTTGCACCAATCTATAGCAAATGGATGAATTCATATCAACCAAGGATTAAACTGAATGCACACAGTTCCCGTGCACCCTAGCAGGCACCCTTATTGAGCTAATGAAATGGTAACTTCTGTTACTTACTTGACAAATATTTGTTAAGCACTGACTATGTGTCAAGCCCTGTGTGAACACTGGAATTATAGCAGTAAGTACATCAATAAAACTCTCTGCCCTCATGAAACTTTCACAGGGTACAGGAGCAGATTAAAACAAAACAAGTGATATAAATATTATGTTAGCTGGTACCAAGTGCTGCAGAGAAAATTTAAACAGGAATGGGAGATGGGAAGCAATTTTTAAAAAACGATGACCAGGAAAGGCCTCACTGAAAACGGTGATCTTTGGGTAATGTCTTAAAGCAGATGATGCAGTGAGCTGTGTCGATATCTAGGGAAAGAACATTCTAGATAAAAAGAGAGCAAGAGCAAAGCCTCTGCAGTGAGAACAATACAGAAGAATAGGTGGCTGGAATGGAATTTTGTAGGAAATGAGGTCAGAGGCCACAAGGCCAGGAGATGTGGGGCCCAAGGGGCTATTATTAAGACTTGGGCTGTGTGGGAGATGGGAGCCATTGGAGGTTTCGCAGAGGAGTGACAAGATCTAAGATCCAACTCACCTTTATGTGATAACTCTGGCTGCCATTTAAACAACAGACTCAGTGGGCAAGGGTGGGAGTAGGGAGGCCAGTAGGGAAGTGAGGTGATGGCAGCTCATTACTAATAATTATTACAATATGAGCATGGTCCTTTACTTTCTACCAGTCCCTTCATATAAATTATTTCACTTAATCTCCATTTAGATAAAGAAACTGAAGCTATGGCTTATTGAAGTGACTAGCTATCTGGCTGGCTTAAAATCTCTCAGTAAGTTAGTGGCAGAGCTGAATCTTAAATCTGGAGTATTTTTATTTCTATGCAGTTCTCAAGTCCCCTTTGATATTCACCTCCTACCCAATTGCCTGGGCTCTCTGACGTCTGTGGGTTCAGATGATACCCAATTGACCATCACGGCCAGCCACAGAGTCTGACTATAAATATCACTGATAAGTATCTGGTAACCAGCAGACAGGTGGCAGAACCCACATCACATGGAATAGAATCCAACAAAAAGAAAAGTCATCATCGAGCTCTGTCCTCATGAGGGCATGAGCCTCCTGAACAATGCACAGCAGGAAGGGAGGTCAGGGGGCTCTTAGAATGTCAACTGATGTTTATTCAGCACTTCTGTGTGCTCAGAACAATATTAGATGCCATTTGAGAGACAGAAAGGAAGAAAATTCTCTGTTGTCAAGGAGATTACAATTCAGTGGGGAAAGAAGACACTCACTTGGGGGTAGGAAAGACAATGCAACTGAGCAGATGAGGTGTCACACACAGACTGAATGCTCAGGGTTTCAGGGCTCAAGGAGTTCAGTGAAGGTTGAAGATATTAGGAAGGAAGGGGAGGAAAAAGTCTTGAGAAAGAAAACTTCTGGATCATTTCAAAAGGTGGTCACCAAATTCTATAATCTGAGTGTTTCTAACCATCTCAGGAAACCCTTCAAATGTCGCTTTTAGTCTTGGTATGCCATACAGCCTTAGAAAGTCTATTTTTACTTTCCACATTGGTTTGCCCCTTTGAGGGTCCCAAACATACATGCCACCAGAAGAGGGATTTTAACCAAGAAGTCCAAGCCAAGCAAGCCTTCTTATAAGATGGCCAATAAGGAATTTAAAACGTCCAAGCTAGGAAGGTCTTTAGCGGCTGTCTAGTCCAGGGATCAGTAAACTATGGCCCACAGGCTGGCCTCTTATTTCATAAACAGTTTTATTAAGACAACCATGCCCTTTTGTTGACATATTGTCTATGGCTGCTTTCATGCTACAACAGCAGAGATCAGTCATTGTAGCAGAGACTGCATGGCCCTCAGAGCCTAAAATAATTCTCTGGTCCTTTAGGAAACACTTGTTGACCCATGTTCTAGTTCAACTCCTTTATTCTGGAAGTATGAAAACAGAGGCCCAGAGTGGCTAAGAAAACTGCCCAGTGTTATTGGATGAGTTTAAGTGCTGTCCAGCCTAGAATAGGAAAAGTAATGTGAGAATTGGTCATCCTTCATTCATTTGGTTATTCACTCAACAACTTTTTTATCATCATCATGGACCAGGCACTGAGTAAGAAGACTATAGATAAAGCTTCTGCCCTTAGCGTTCCTGTTTGAGAAAGGAGGAGAAGGACATTTTAAAAAGTGAAGAAAATAACTACAAAGCATGCTGACTGCTCTAAAATAAACTAACATAGGGATGGGACAGAATGTAACTTGGGGAAGAGAGGGAAATATTTCAGACAGGGAATCAGGAAAGAGCTTTCTGAGGAGGTGAGGTTTGAACTGGGCCTTAAGTAATAAAAGCCATGAGGTGGCTTCATGCACTTCATGGTGGAAGGGCATTCATGCACAGGGAATAGGAACTGCAAAATCTCTGAGGCAGCAACAAGCTTCGCATGTGCAGAGAACAGCAAGAAGGTGCACATGTACAGAAAAGGGTGAAACAGACAAGACTGTTATGAAGTAAGGGCAGAGGTGAGCCAGTGCCTGTAGGTGGTGGCAACTATCTCCTGAGCATATTTTCACTCCACTTACATCATCACCATTATTTTCTTCATCCCCATAGTGAGGTTCCAAAAAGCCCAGGAAGGGAACATGTGATACCTGTATTTGCATGCTATAGAAAGCAGTGCTAGGTTAATTACAGAGTTCTTAGCTATAGCCATGTTATAGTTCCCTCCTAGCCAGGGATGCATAGCACTTTCAATGATTGTGAGGGCATATTTCACCTTCTTCAGACCACAAGACAGGCAGCCCACTAGTTAGTCATTTGGAGTCGTCTATACCTGGATTTGAATCCTGACTCTTCCTGACCTTGCACAAGTAGCTTGTGTGTTTCTGAGCCTTCAGTAAATGGAGGTAATTGTACCTACTTTCTTGAGTTGTGAGAAGAATTAGATAAGACAATGTGGGTACAGCTTAGCCTTGACTCAGTGCCTGGTACATGCTCAACAATTTGTTATGTATGTATTATTACTAGTCAGATACACACTGGTAGAACTTGCCACTGCATCTCAGTCTTTGTGTGCCAAAGACACAGAAATTTCTCACTACTGTCAAGTTGTCAAATGCATGAGCAGAAAGAACAAATTCCAGAGAAGCCAAATGACCAGCCCAAGGCACTTAAGAAGAGTCGCACGATGACTCAGGCCTTCAGTGCCCACCCCAGCTGCTCACTACATTTCACCAACACAGCAGTCTCAGTTATACTTTGACCACTGACCTCTGAGCAAAAACCACTGTACTTTGAAAACAAGGGTGGGAAGGGACCAAAGAAGTCCTTTGAACAGCCCTGCAGAATTCAAGAGTTCTTATAATGTGCCTGCTATATGTTATGGATACAAAGATGAATGGTCCATACTCACTGTACCCTTGAGGAATTTCCAGGTTTGTGGAGAAGACAGTTATACAATTAAAATCTTGAGGGTAATCTGCCTATCAAATAAAATAATTTACTCAGCTCAGGGAGTCAGGGACAGGAACCAGAGAGAAAGTGACACCTGAGCTGACTCTTGAAAGGTATTGAGTAAACCAGAAGGAGATTGGCTTGGCTGAGCAGAGGGTGATAAGACTGAAAAGCACAGCTAATGGAGGGCCTGAACCCCTGAACCAAGGAGCTTGGACTTGATGGGCAAAAAGGAGGCAAGGTCATCCTAGGTGCAGACTACAAGGATTTGAGGGAGCAGGACCAGAAACAGCACAACCAGTTCTGAGCCTACATTGCAAGTCCAGGCAAGAAGCAACAAAGATCTGAGCTATAACCATAAGGGAAGGGAAGAAAAGAAGACACCAATTCTGGAGCCTCTGGTAAGGAGAATCTGCACCATGTAGCAACAAAGTGGGATGCTAAGACAAGGAAGAGAGAGAAGGGGCAGCTGCTCAGCTGGGTCTGCCTTTCACCACGCGGGGAAATCCAGAGAAATGGCAGGTGGGAGCAGGGAAGGAAGGCTGAGTTCATCACAGAAAAAGAAGCAATCGAGCATGGTGTTTTTCAATGGTGGTTTTTTTCTTCTTCTTTCTTGGTGATAATGCTTTCAAACTTCTGTGACAAAACAAACAAACAAAAAAAAAAAAAAAACGGAAGAAATCAGACATGCCCCAGGTGAAGGAGAGGAAGGAACAGAGGCCATTCCTCTCCTCACAGACCCCCGAGAAATGACAGCCGTTCAGTTCCTTGGATCTTTGATCTGATACAGTGGAGGCTGGGTTTTTAAGACCGGGAGAATGCAGTTTGAAAAATTACTGCTGTAAAGAAAAAACAAATAATCCCATTAAAAAGTGGGCAACTGATATGAATAGATATTTCTCAAAAGAAGATATACAAATGGCCAGAAAATGTGAACAGACCTTCAAAGTCACTAATCACTAGGAAAATGCAAATTAAAACCACAATGAGATACCACCTCACTCCAGCCAGAATGGCCATTATTAAAAAGTCAAAAAACAATAGCTGTGGGCATAGAGGTGGATGTGATGAATATGGGATGCTTATACATTGCTGGTGGGAATGTAAATTAGTACAACTGGAAAACAGTCCAGAGATTTTTCAAGGAAATAAAAGCAGATCTAACATTCCATCCAGCAATTTCACTACTGGGTATCTAGCCAAAGGAGAATAAGTCATGATATCAAAAAGATACCAGTACACATACGTTTATTGCAGCACAATTCACAATTGCAAAGATATGGAACCAGTCTAAGTGCCCATCAGCTGATAAGTGGATAAAGGAAATGTGGGCCACCTGTGGTGACTCACACCTGCAATCCCAGCACTTTGGGAGGTCAGGGCAGGCAGATTGCTTGATCCCAGGAGTTCAAGACCAGCCTGGGCAGCACGGTGAGACCCCATCTCTACCAAAAAAAAAAAAAAAAAAAAAAAAAAAAGCCATGAGTGGCGCCATGCACCTGTAGTCCCAGCTACTCGGAAGGCTGAAGTGGGAGGATGGATCCCTTGGGCTCAGGAGGCAGAGGTTGCAGTGAGCTGAAATCGCACCACTGCACTCCAGCCTGGGTGACAGAGCAAGGCCCTGTCTCAAAAAACAGAAAGAAAGAAAAAAATATGTGGTATATTCAGCCACACAGAAGAATGAAATAATGTCTTTTGCAACAATCTGGAGCTAGCAGCTATTATTCTGAGTGAATAACTCAGGAATGGAAAATCAAATATCACATGTTCTCACTTACAAGTGAGAGCTAAGCTATGGGTACAAAAAGGCAAACAGAGTGATGTAATGGACACTGAAGTCTCAGAAGCAGGGGTTGGAAAGTGGGTGAGGGATAAAAACTACATAATGGGTACCAGGTACACTACTCCAGTGATGGGTGCACTAAAATCTTAGACTTCACCACCATACAATTCATCCATGAAACAAAAAATCACTTGTACCCTTAAAGCTTTTGAAATGTTTAAAAAGGAAAAAAAAAGGAAAACTAATCTTGTGGTGTGTGAGCCCACAGGAGGCCTCAGAGGAAACGGCCAGGAGCTCCAAGGGCAAATGCAACAAATCCATACTAGAACCAGGGCTTTGGGCATATTTTCCACCCTCCACTACCCAAGAGCATATTGTCCATCTTCTATCCCGCCTCACAAAATTACGAAAATGATAAGACTCAAACCTAAATTACAAAAGAGGCCGGAGCCTAGCCCTCTCTGCCCCATCCCTGTAATGATTCTGTTCCTGAACAGGACCTTACCAGCCTTTCCCTTCTACTCTCCCATGCCCACCTTGTTAACTGAAACCACCTCAGACCCCACAGCAGCCTGGACCCTTCCACTGGCCTAGCCACCCCCAGTACACAGAGCACGAAAGCTGCTGCCATGTCTCTGCTACTGCTATACCAGCCTGCCTTTCTGTTTTCCCTGGGCCTGATTATTTTAAGCTGCCTCTGAGGCCCCGCCGGGCTGGGCCCAGTGTTATCTCCTGTATGCAGTTACCGCCTTGTTAAAAGGCAATCAGAGGAGCTGACTTTCATAAATGTTAACACCCTCAATGTGAAGTCTGGCAATTAAAACTCCTCCCCAGGATCTCTGAAACAGGCCTATGGAAAATCCCTCATCTTAATAAGCTTCTATCATCAGAGAACGCTGAGAGAAAGCAGGGATAAGGAGGAGGCATTAAAACTTTCAAAGGGGAGAGAAGCAACCAAGAAAGGCACCTCCCTCTGTTTCTCATCCCTCCCTCTGAGGATCCCACTCCAGGCCAATTTCATCCAACCAGCCTGAGAAGCAAATACACATGCTCAGGAAGGCCTTAGGGGTCATCTTGTTCAGTGGTGTTTAGATTTTTTGTGCCTTAGACTCACCTGGAGGGCTCCTTAAAACACAGATTGCCAGGGTTTAATGTCTGATTCAGTGGGCCTAGGGTAGGGCCTGAGAATTTGCATGTCTAGCAAGTACTCAAATGCTGCCACCACTGATGGTCCAGGGACCACAGCTTGAGAACCACTGATCTATCCCAATATTGTCATATTACAGATGGGAAAACTGAGGCCCAGAGAGATAGGAACTTGCTCAAGATCTCCTGTCTAGTCAGTGCACCCCATTTGAAAGGATCAAAGCAAATCTCTTGAGAGCAATTCCCAAATGTATGTTTTAAATTCTTTTTTCTCCATAGAATTTAAAACATTGTGTTTATTAACAGTCATCATCACCATTGTCATCATTATCCTGAAATGAGATCCTTGAAGTCAAAGGAAGAAATAGTCAGTAGTTGGCATGCCAAGTAACAGACAGCCTGCCTCATCAATACACAGGAGGCCAAATTAGAAAAGAGTTCTCCTAAGTGAGTTCTTTGACAAGATTTCCTTTCTTTCTTCCTTAGATCAGGCTAGAGGCAGGTTAGATTAGATTTAGGTCCAGATTGGATTTCAGAGCCCTTAGACATCACTTAGCTCCCTGATCACCCAAACAGAAACACATGCCATCCTATTATTCCTGTCACTTCTCAGTGCCTGAAATCCATACTTACTTGTTTTCTTGCTTCCCAACCATCTCCTCCACTAAAACCCATGTTCATGAGAGCATGGATGTTCTTGGAACAGTGCCTGACACTTACAGGTTTCTAATAAGTATTTGTTGATTAATTATCTTAGCTGAGTGAGAGCCATATTAGCTTGGAAAGGATTCATTAATCTGATGAATTTATTGACACTTGGCAGAGATTTGAGTGTTGAGGCCATACGCTGAGAAAGATGTGATCAGGTAGAAGGCAGAAAGGTTACCCTGGCACCAAGATCCCAAGAAGCAGCAGGAAAAAAAAAGAGGGAACACTCACTGGGCTAGGTAGGGGGTGGAGGGAAGGGGAGGGGAGGGACATCTGTGGGCGGGGAGGATGGGGAGGAATAACACCAGGAAAAATGCCTGGTGAAGGTGAGGGGGAGGATGGAGACAGCAAACCACCACAGCATGTATGTACCTATGTAACAATTCTATGCAGGATGTGCACATGTACCCCAGAGCCCAAAGTACAATTTTTTTAAAAAGTTGCTAAAATGGCAAAGAGATTGTAAGGGCCAATCGCAGCCACTGTCCCTTACCCCTGCAACACACACACAAGCCCTCACACATATTTTCACACATGCCCCACACTCTGCCTCACAAGAAAAACAGCTTAGCAGCTGAGCTATCCAAATCACACCACAAAGATCCCAGACAGGGGGAAAGATCATCCATTATAATTACTGTGTGGGAGCTTCCATACGGCACCCTGCTAAGAGCAGGGAAGCAAAACGGATCAGAACAGACAGCTTATTAAATTATCCAGTGCATCAACTCAATGAGCACTTCCAAATGGTTTTCTTTCTTTTCCTCTTTTTTTTTCTGTCTATGAGTTTTTAATATTTGCTTTCCTTCTGCTATTTAGAATTCCCCTTAGGTGTTTGGATCACTGCTCTCCTTCTGCCAGCTGCTGTATCTTATCAACCACCTTCCTGAGTCATTCACATAGTTTCAGAGATACAGCAAGAGTCATGTTGCAGACTGGACCCAGCTTTTGAAGTTAGAGGAACCATGTTTGAGTCTTGGTTCTTCTGTGTGATCCTGGGCATGCTATGAATTTGCCTGAGCTGTGGATTCCTCAAATAAGGGGGATAGCACAGCTCAGTTTGTGGTAGAGATTAGAGGGGATGGTGTATAGTAGCCCATCTTCCAAGCTGCCAAAAGAGGAACAGGTGTGAGCTGCCAGGACCACGTCAGATGGATTTTTGTTCTTTGTCTAAGGCACAAAGTCATTTGGCAAGTTCTAGGAAAAGGTCCTGTGCCTCCAGATAGCTCTACAAAAATGCACTACAGAAGAGCTTTTCAATTTGATTAGTGAATATCCACCTTGAAAATGCAAATAGATGGGTGGAAGAATGCATCTGTCTACCTTTCAGTGATCCTCACTTTAGTGTGAATCTAATTAAAAGTATTCCTTTCCATTAAAGAATGAATCTTCTGGTAGAGTTTGGGCAAGCAGGAAGGAAATATTTTAGCTTGGGAATACTACAAAAGCAACTTTGCGGGAAGGGGCAAGTTGCACCCCTTAGAATCTGGGTGGCTGTAAACAGAAGTGAAATTCTCTAAACTCCAGTTTCCTCATCTGTAAAATAAGGGTAATAGTATCTACTAGAGTCATTATTAGAATTAAATAAGATAAAGTACGAACCACTTAGCATGAGCATGGCACAGAAAAGAACTTAGTGAAACTTAACTACCACTACAGTTACTAAGAGTGGTATCATTATTATAATATTTATTTTTATTACTACAACTACTAGCTGTCAATAAGCAGCATATGGCCCTCTGAACCTTGTTTGGAAAGATGCCCATCTTTCCAAGCCTCTTTTGTATCATTAATTTATTGCTGTTTAATAAAGCAACTCAAACTTGGTGGCCTAAAACAACCACCATTTATTTTGCTCATGAATCTATAATTCAGGTAGGACCTAGGGGGATGGCTGACCTCTGCTATATATGGCATCAGTTGGGGCAGCTTCTCTGAAGACTAGAGGATCTACTTTCAGTGTTGCTCACTTACACTGCTTTTAAAAAAAAAATGGTGCTGCCTCTTGGCTGGGAACTCAGCCAGGGATGTCGGTTTCAGATCCTCTGAATGAGTTGTTTGGGCTTCTAAACAGCGTGGTGACTGAGTTGCAAGAGGGAGCTTCTCAAGAGAATAAAAGAACATGGCATTTTTATGACTTAGCCTCAGAAGTCACCTTATGTCCCTTCCTCTGTACTGTTTGCCCAGGCAGTCACAAAGATGCACCCAGATTCAAGGGGAGGGGACATAGATCCTACCTCTTCATGTGGGAGTGTTAAGACTCTAGAACAACATGCGGAATGGAAAATATTGTTGCAGTCTTCTTTAGAAAATATACTCTGCCATACCTCTCAGGAAAGTCTTTCTGAATTCTTCACCCTCACCAGTTATATGACCTCCCTTGGTGTCCAAATTTGTTGTAGCACTCACATTACCCTGGAATGTTCAGCACAGTCTTTTGGTTTTTCCAGTATCCAAACTGAATGGCATGGAGATGCCATTCAGAAAAAGGAAATAGAGATGCTTTACGATTTGATCTTGATATCATTGTTTGGATACAGACAGCTCTGGAATATAATTTCACCCATTTGGAACCTTTTTTGAGTCAGAGTTTCACTCTTGTTGTCCAGGCTGGAGTGCAGTGGCATGATCTCAGCTCACTACAACCTCCGCCTCCCGGGTTAAAACGATTCTTCTGCCTCAGCCTTCCAAGTAGCTGGGATTACAGGCATGTGCCACCACACCCGGCTAATTTTGTATTTTTTAGTAGAGATGGTGTTTCTCCATGTTGATCAGGCTGGTCTTGAACTCCTGACCTCAGGTGATCCACCTGCCTCAGCTGCCCAAAATGTTGGGATTACAGGTGTAAGCTACTGCACCTGGCCCATTTAGAACATTTCAACCTCTCTATTTCCTCATCTATGAAACAAGGTGATGCCTTGTTTCATACTAATGATGCCTCAATGAATTTATTGAGAAAATTATATTAAGCACATCTAACTTCATGAAGCACTTGACATATATTAGTAAACCTGGCTTTTAAGTGTTACCACAAAAATGTTAGCTATTATGATTGATACCACTAAGCTGGAATTTGCAACAATTCAAACAGAAAATAGATTTTTCTTACCCTAAGAACTTCCTTGTGTTATAACTAGTGAAAATTATGGTGGAGAAAATGTCAGAAAGTGGAGCAGAGAGGAAAAATATCTGAAATATGTATGGCACAGCTTTTTTAAGCCTTTCACATGGAAGAGGTGGGGCTTGTATGGCATCCTCCAAGCTGAGTCCATTTTGGAGAAGTAGTGGAAGGGGAGAAGAGCATGAATGAGTTGAGAAAACTGGGCCAGTCTGAAGGGTCTGAAGGAGCCACATCAAGCAGAGAGTGCCCTGCCATGCCCAACCAGACCACACAATGCAGAAGATGACATTTCAGATGCCCTCCAGCTCAAAAAGTCTCTACTCCTGCATTAGCAGAGTTCTTTGTCACAAAGAGAACCTCTTAATCCACAAAGGGAACTTAATGGAAAGGTGCTGGAATGTTCAAGAAGAGAGGAAGAGGGCTGGCTCCAGGAGCCTGGGCAGCAGGGAAGGCTTGTGGCCCTTCTTACCAGAATGCTGCTATGGCAGGGGATACGGCTCCAGGGACCATCATGATCAGAGTGTTTCCATCCCAAGTTTCCTATTTCCAATGTCTTACCCTGGGTTAATCGGCTATGGTGAGGGAAGCAGGATCCCATACTGTGGAAGTGACTGCTGTTATCCCACATAAAGGGACAACTGTAGAGAAAGAGAACAAGGCAGAATTGACATAGAAAGGCAGCAGTGGGCAGGGAGCCCCGCCACAGAAAATGTTCTCATCATCCTCCTCCTCCTCCCTCTCCATTGTCATAAAAACTGCTCTGTATTGGGTGGCAGGATGGAGTTCAGATAATTTAATAAGCAGAATGTTTATTATTCATCTGTCATGTGCTTAGGGCTACAGATACAGAAATGAACGGACACTGCATTTCACAGCACAGGATATACTTAGTCGTTAAGAATCCCTAGTTGGGAATGACAAAGATCAGGATTCAAATTCCAGTTCTGCCCCTTATGCATTGTGTAAATTTGGCTCTGTCTCCTCAAGCTACGGTGAAGACTGCCTAATAATTGTGCCTACCTTACAGGTTATTATAGTTCATCACAAGGATTTAACAAGAGAAAGTAAGCAGCCCTCGTGCGATGCCTTACACCTGCTGAGCATTGCATATACTTGACTATGACTCTGACTGTAACAAAAAAAAAAAAAAAGAAAAAGAAAGAAAGAAGAAAAGAAAGAAAGAGAAAGAAAGAAAGGAAGGAAAAAAAAAAAAAAAAAAGAGGACTTCCCTGCCAATTTTACCTGTAAGTGCTAGAAGAGACTGTATATTCTTATTCCAGGGTATAGACAGATGTCCTGCCCAGTGGGATCCAGCCCCACAAATATCAGAATCACCTAGGAAACCAGTTAACAAAGCAGCCCCCAGCATTGCTCCCAGATCATCTGATTCAGGACATCAGGAGAATGGTCTGGAATCTACATTTAAAGCTGCTCGTCACAATCTAAGTGAATCTATATTTAAAGCTTCTTGTCACAATCTAAGTGATTTTAATACATAATTACTATGAATACCAGTGTTCTAGACTAGAAAATCCTCTTACTTAAAGACAAGGAAACTGACAACGATGGAAAGAAAACAATTCAACTTAAGATCCACAATGAGAATTACTGGGCAAATTAGTTTTCTATTGTTGTGTAACAAATTACCACAGACTTAGTGGCTTAAAACAATACGGTAAAACTTTATTTTTTCCTAGCTTCTGTAGGTCAGAAGTCTAAGCTTAAGATGGCTGAGCCCTCTGCTCTTTGGTCCCAAAAGGCTGAAATTAAGGTGTTGGCTGGCTGCCATCCTTTCTACAGCTCAAGGATCCTCTTTCAAGCTTTCATGGTTGTAGGCAGAATTCCATTTCTTGGGGTTATAGGACTAAGGGCTCTGTTTCATGGCGGCTATTAGTCAGGGGTCACTCAAGTCCTAGAGGCACTCTCCAGCCTTGCCATGTGGCCCCCTCCATCTCTAAAGCCAGCAATGGAGAACCTTCTCACATTGAATATTCCTCATGCTTTGAATCTCTCACTTCCCCTGTCTCTAAATTCTACACTTAGATGTAAAGGGCTGATATGTAGTTAGGTGAGTCCTACCTATCTGATTAACTCAAAGTCAACTAATTAGTAACCTTTATAACAGCTACACAATCCCTTTTGCTGTATGCCATAATATAACCAAGGAAGTTATAGCTGTGATAATCACAAGTTTTGCCTACACTCAAGGGAAGGAGGTTATAAAAGGGAAAGGGTCATGGGAGGTCATTTTAGAATTCTGCCTACTACACTGGGAATATAATCTAAAACTTAGACAAAACACAGCTTGTCAGTCATGCAGAAGTCACCGCCCTTCACATTACAGCAATAGCTTCCTAACTCCTAAATCAACATTTGTACCTCCAAACCAAATAATACAAGAAAAGCTCATTGATGTAAGATGTAGCTTATAACTGTTATTTCAAGGCATTCTAAGCATGTAGGTTGTCAATGTCTTGAACAAACACCTTCTTTGGTGTACCTAGTGAAAAATTGACAGTTGGGTTTATTCACCAACTCTGGCCTATGTCCAGCAAACACAGCTGAAATGGAACTTAAACTGACCATCTAAGCCAACCACTCACAAAATCGAGTGCCCAAACAGAAAAACCAGGTGAGAACGACAAAGGAACCCAACCTAGTACAGGTTGAGTATATCTTGTCTGAAATGCTTAAGACCAGAAGTGTTAAATATTTTGGATTTTTTTTATTTTGGAATGTTCACATTATACTTACCATTTCCCCTAATCTGAAAATGCTCCAGTGAGCATTTCCTTTTAGCATCATGTCAGAATTCCATAAGTTTTGAATTTTGGGGCATTTCAGATTTCAGATTTTTGAAGTAAGGATACTAAATCTATACCTCCTAGGTACCTAGCACAATCTTTGTACATTATCTCATTTAAGAGTTAAGACAATCTCATTAAATAGACATTATTATTCCTATTATAAATAAAGATTATGAGATCTTTGGGGAAAAAAAATACAGGTAGCAAGAGGTAGCACCAGGATTAAACCTAAGTCAGGTCAGTCTAACTTCAAACTACATGTTCTATCCACAGATCCAATCTTAATAACTGTTGCCTTTTTTCTCTACTAATTCAATCATGAAATATATTTTTTTAAGACAAACAAAAAATCTCCACCAGCAAAACAAGGCAATGTCCCTCATGCAGTCTTAAAAAATAACTACCTTTTGTTCCTGCCCTAAGTAAAACTAAATCTTTCCAACAGTGTCAGATGTATTACTAATTACACAATTACATTATGCAGTCATGCTTGTAATAAAATTCTTGGAGTGCTTTTAGTAAATTCAACTTTGAAGAAAATAATGACTTGCTTTAAAATTATTTACTAAATTAAGCAATTTTTTACTCAACATTGTTTTTAATAATTCAAGAACAAGATGTTTTATTATGAACATTTTCTAAAACAAGTTTAAAAAACAATTTTATTCTTATGAGTATGAGCATGCTTGTTCAGTAAGGTATTTCTTAAAAATATTTAATATTTCTGTTTTGCCAGACAGTGAAAGGTTTTTCACACGTTCCATGATTCTTTCAACTGGAATGCATCTTCCTCCTGCCCCCAGGGCTGGCAGAGTGGGGAAGAAAAGCCACAATGTCATTTATATCACTCAGCACGTTACCACAGATGTTTGCAAATTCTTGGGATGAAGGGGAAATAAAGGTGCCATAACAGAAGTTTTTCCCTCTTTTCCAAAGACGGTTGCAACCTTCCCCATCTCAAATGATTTTCTGCAATGTGATTTTGAACACCCATTCCTCAAGAAGTGAGATCTAACTTGATCTCCTAGAATCTTGGTGGCCCTGTGACTACAAAGACCAGTGGAATATGGCAGAAGTGGTGTCAGTTCTGGAATCAGCCCTCAACTGGCCAGGTGGCTTCTGCTTCCTTTTTTGGACCACTCAATTTTGCAATGTTCCCTCTGAGAACCCATCCAACATGCTGTGACATGCACAACCACATGGAGAGACCCTGTGGAGGCACTCTTGTCAACTTCCAGCTTCACTGTCAGTCATGGGAGGCAACCATCTTGAATGCCCAGCCCAGTGGCGGCTTTAGATGCCTGCATCCCAGCCACCATCTGACTGCAACCTCACCAGCAACCCACTTGAGAGCCACCCAACTGAGCCCAATCAACGCACAGAAACATGAATGAAGATAAATTGTGACTTTGAATCACTGAAATTTGGGGACATTTATTATGCAGCAATAGATACCCAGATACTCCTCTTCCTATTAGTCATATATGTTAACTAAGACCAGACCTGGCCACTAAGTAACTGCCTCCATGAAGGAACCATTAGAAATGTCCTGCTTTTCTTTGAGTCTCCATTTTCCTATCTGGGAAAAAAGAGGTAGGGCTAGATCAGGAGTCAAAATGTAGAGGCCATGATGGGTAGTCAATGGTTAGAAACAATATTTCTAAAAACCTGATGAAAGACACACATTTACATGTGATGAAGCCACATTGGCTAACTAAAAACCAAGTTTCCTTGTTTTTAACTGAAATTGCTCTGTGTATCAGCACTGTTCCTTCTGGTAGTCAGAAGCTGGCTAGCAGTCCCAGATGGCTTGGATAGCTAAAAATGAAATAAAGAATTAAATGCTGCTTAGTTCATGCAGTTTGTTCAGCATAGGAAAAAAAAAAAAAATTAACACAAGCTCCTCAGCTGAGAAACAAACCCCCAAGGAAGAAAAAGATGGTAATGACTTGGAAACATGACCTATAATAATGCTAATAGTTATCACATATTGGCCACTTACTATGGACTAAGACATACACTGGGCTGAGGGTGTCACAAGTAGTAGTAGCTCATCTGATTCTTCAAATAACCCATGAGGTAAACACTATTTTTTAGTTTGACATAGAAAAACTGAGGCATAGAGAGGCAAACTACCATGTATAAAGCTACACAACTAGTAAACAACAGAGCTGGCATTAAAACCTATCAGATTTTAAAGTCTACATAGTACTGCCTTTTAAAAAATATATTTGTCTCTAACTCAAATTAAATGTCCCCCAAAATTGTACCTTCCACCTTTCCACCTCATAAACAATCTTTGTGTGTCAGGAAGACTGTTGGTGCTTGAATAGGAGTCCAGGTCTTGGTCATGGCATGAAGAAGTAGGACTATGTGTTTCACAGGACTGGTCAACGTCCCTGGAGAATGAGCTCTCACACAATGCCTATGGGGTACAAATTGGTAGCAAACCTTTATAAACCTGTCTCAACATTTAATAATGTTGAAGATAGGACTACAGCATGTCCCAGCAATCTCATTCTTAGGTATTTGCACCAGAAAATCTGACGTACATGTAGCAAGTAGGTACTTACATGGAATTTTATCACACCATGTTGGTTATAGCAGAACCTCAGAAACAACCTAAACATTCATCAACAAGAAAATTAAAAGTAACTGCAAATTATTATCATTCAAGGAATTGCTGCATTTTAAAATGAATCAACTAGAACTATATATTTCAACATATATGCATGTCAAAAACAATATTAAAAGAAAAATGCAAGTGGCAAAAAAATACAGTATGACTAAATTTCTATAAAACTATACAATATGTCCATTTTTATATATAGTTTATACATTCATATATACGTAATAAATGTAAAATCATTTGAGGAAGACCACAGTTAGCTCTGGGGATGGAGAAAGATGTGGAAAGGCTATAAAGGAGTCTTTTTTTAAAAATTTTTTACTTGAGGTTCTAGGGTACATGTGCAGGTCATGCAGGGTTGTTGCATGCGTGCATACATAACCATGTGGTTTGCTGCCTCTAGTCCCCCTTCATCTAATCTGGAATTTCTCCCCAGGTCATCCCTCCCCAACCTCCCCACCCGCCATTGTCCCTCCCCAACCCCCCCAACAGCCCCCAGTATGTGATACTACTCTCGCTGTGTCCATGTGTTCTCGTTGTTCAACACCCACCTATGAGTGAGAACATGCAGTGTTTGGTTTTCTGTTCTTGTGTCAGTTTGCTGAGAATGATGGTTTCCAGATTCATCCAAGTCCCTACAAAGGACATGAACTCATTGTTTTTTATGGCTACATAGTATTCCATGGTGTATATGTGCCACACTTTCTTTGTCCAGTCTATCATTGATGGGCATTTGGGTTGGTTCCAAGTCTTTGCTATTGTACACAGGACCACAATGAACATACATGTCCATGTGTCTTTAGAATAGAACACTTTATAGTCCTTTGGATATATACCCAGTAATGGGATTGCTGGGTCAAACGGAATTTCCATTTCTAGATCCTTGA